TAATAAAAAATGTGTAAGACCTCAAAACAAAAATACTACCCCCAAAATTCGACAGAAAGTTCCCAATGAATGGAGAGATAGATTATGTTCGTGTACAAGAAAGCTTGGTATCTTTAAATGCCCATTCTCCCTAAAGTGATCTATATATTCAATGGAATCCCAAACAATATTCCAGGAGGAAAAATGGTTTTTTAGGGATTGTATGTATAAATCAGCAAACCAATCCTAAAACACATTTCGAAAGGTGAAAAGATGATACAGCCAAGACTATCTTGAAGGACAAGACTGGAAGATGCACATTTCTAGGTTGGCAGACCTGTTAGAAAGCTCCAGCAATTAAGGCACTGTGGCCCTGGAGCAGGGATGGAGGTCAGGGGCAGGACAGAGAACCTGGACAGAGCCACAGACGGACACCTGACTTATGACCTGGGTAACACTGCAGAGCAATGGGTGGGGGGAAAAGTCTTTGCAATAAATGAGTAGGGCCACTGGATATCCACTTAGGGAAAAACCCAAGCATGTCAACCACTACCCCCACCATACACAGAGGCCAGTTCCAGGGGGATTATAGATCTAGACACAAAAGAAAACAGAAAGCTTCCAGAAGCTAACAGTAGAAAATTCTCCTGAACCTGCTGTCTACAAAAATTTCTTTAAGGAGCCATTAATGAAGAGATTGATACATTGGACTACACTAAAATAAGAGCTTTTGTTCATCAAATCGCACCATTAAGAAAGTGAAAGGTGGCAGGGGGTGGCAGGGGAAGAAGATGTTGGTACGAAGCTTCAATTATGCAGGATAAACAAGTTCTGGAGACCTAATGTACAACATGGTGACTATAGGTAACAATACTGTATTACAAACTTGAAATTTGCTAAAAAAGCAGATCTTAAATGTTCTCATCACAAAAGAATGATCAGTCTGTGAGGTGAAGGATATGCTAATTAGCTTGATTTAATCATGTCACAATGTACACATATATCAAAATATCGTGTTGTATACCCTAAATATATAACATTTTTATTTGTCAGCTATACCTCAATAAAACTGGAGGAAAAAGTGAAAAGGTGAGCCATACAGGGGAGAATCCAAGTATTTCAAAGCACAAGTACCCAACAAAGAACATGTCTCCAGAATAATACATAAAGAACTACACATCAATAGCGGAAGGAAGAGCAGAAGTCTCGAAGAGGCACTTCACAAAGGGAACGCCCGAAAGGCTAATTACATGGAAAGCCATTGTGGAAACGTCAACTAAACTACAAAGAAAGACTAGCCAATAAAATCACTATGACAAATATACTTCTGTTGTTTATAAACCATCCAGTCTATGGTATTTTTGTTATAGCAGCCCACACTAAGATAGGAATATTGTGAATAAAATTACTATGTACATTCAAATACAAGTTTTTGTATGAACATATGTTTTTCATTTCTTTTGGGGAGGAGGGGAGGGGCTAGGTCCAAAAATAAGTGTATATTTAACTTTTAAGAAACTGCCACAGTATTAAATAGTTCTACCATTTTACATTTTCACCAGCAGTGAATAAACTCCATGTAGGTTTGCATTAACACTATATAGTTTAGGAAAGTAACGTGTTAATAATATTCAGTTTTCTACAAATACTATACATCTTTAGTTATTAAAATGTTTCATTTCATCCAGTGAAGTTTTATTTCATCTAATCGGGCTTGCTCATTTCCTATTAGGGTTAGCCCTGGGTATTTCATGTTTCTATTATGAAAGGGAACCCTTTTTAGTTTATGTTTCAATTGTTCACAATTGTCTTTCTTAAAAAAATACTTTATTTTTTAGAATAGTTTCATTTATTTTTTTCCAAGATCAAGGCATAGGCAGATTCAGTTACTGGGAAGGCCCACTTCCTGGCTGTCTTCTCTTTGTCACTGCACCTGGCCAAAGGGGCAGAGGAACTCCCTGAGGCATTTCTGTAAGGACACTACTCCTATTCATGAGAGTTCCACCCTCATGACCTAATTATATCCCAAAAGCCTTACCTCCTAACACCATCGTATTGAGAATTAGTTTTCAACATATGAATTTTGGAGAGACAAAATATCCTGTCTATAGCAATCTCAAAACTGGGGGGGAAAAACAAATATTCATCAGTAGATCAAAGGATAAACAAAATGTGGTATATCCATACTAATGGAATAATATACAACAAACAAAGAGGAATGAA